ACCTGCATTGAACTGTTCATCATTATACCAAGATCTCTTTCCTCGTTAGCCAGTGCTCCCTCTGATTCCATTCGTTTGTCTGAGTATTTTGGATTTTTGGCTCCAAAATGCATCAATTTACAATTGTTCATGTTGAATGACATCTGCCATTTTGATGTCCATGTGCAGAGATCCCTTTGGGGCTCTTCAGTGTCCCTTGTTTTCACCACTTTGAACAATGTAGCGTCATCAGCAAACTTGGCTATGCCGCTAGGCCCAAAATGCATCAATTTACAATTGTTCATGTTGAATGACATCTGCCATTTTGATGTCCATGTGCAGAGATCCCTTTGGGGCTCTTCAGTGTCCCTTGTTTTCACCACTTTGAACAATGTAGCGTCATCAGCAAACTTGGCTATGCCGCTAGGCACGCTCAATTCCAGATCATTTATAAATACATTAAAAAGCACCGGTCCTAGGGGACCCCACTAGTTACATCCCTCCATTATGTGAAATGTCCATCTACTCTTTGTTCTCTATTCTTTAGGCAGTTGCTTATCCATAAGGGGATCAGCGTTTTTATTCCATGGCTGTTAAGCTGATTGAGAGGTCTTTGATGTGGGACTTTATCAAAAGCTTTTCGAAAATCTAAGTAGATTTTAAGAGAGGACTGGACAAATTTATGAAGGACCTGATTTCATGACCTGTAAAAGGGAAGTAGAAAAGAAAGAAAGAAGATATAAAGTAGTTTCTGATCTTCCTTACAGCAGTTGTAAGCACAATTATAAATTTACCTCTTGCTCTATGGTTACAACATGGCTCTCTTTTTTCTGTAATCTATTCTGTCTAATCATCAAAACCATACATCTTAGTTCATTTCTTTCTGTTTCATGCAAAAAGCCTACAAGGGGTTTCCAGTCAGCAATAAATGTAGACATTGTCTTTTCTTTGATCAAAGAAGTCCGTTTAGCCATCTCAGCAAGTTCCATCATCTTAAGAGGTTTTGCTTCTGAGGAAGAAGAAACAAGAAAGACACAGAAACTCTTTCCATTTTTATTAAGTACAATGAGAGCAATATTGTTCGTGACAAGTAGTTTTCATAGCACTTCACAGCACGTGCTGCTAATAAAACTTTTGCAAAGATTTAAGCAAACAGTGGTTGTTCTTTAAACGCTTACACCCGTGACCAATAACCCAAGGTCACGTGGCCAAAATAAAATGAAGGCAAAACCCTTACATCATTCCATTGTTCTGCCTCAACACCCAAAAAATAAAAATAAAAAATAAAAGCACAACGTACAAAACATGTATGTTTTAGTTTATACTATACAAAAATAGTTAAAATATATTCTAGGTAAACACACTGCATTTTAAGAAATTTGGCATCTGAGATAAAGAGGAGGGGGTGAGACAGAGATTTCATTTGCAAAAGGAAACCACAACAAAAGAATTCAATTATTAAGGTTAAATGGATTTAGGAGAGATGCAGCAAAGACTGAAAGTGGGTGTTCGTTTCAATATTGTCTTTTATAATGAAATCAATATGAAACTTTTACCACTTTAGACTTTGTGAACTTATCTCCACACACACATTCCTTCCACTAAGCCAATGTTTCTCAACCTCAGCAACTTTAAGATGTATGGACTTCGACTCCCAGAATTCCCCAGCCAGTGTAGCTGGCTGGGGAATTCTGGGAGTTGAAGTCTATACGTCTTAAAGTTACTGAGGTTGAGAAACCCAGCATTAAACCCCCTTTTCCCAAATGGATTACAGTATTTTTTCCCCCAAAGTTAGTGAGTATTGCTGTGTCTGTGCTACAGATCCAAATGTAAAACACAGAAATGAATCTGCCGAAGTTTGTTGCTTAAGTCTGCATTTCTCCGTGCCGGCTTTGGAGATGGTAAACTCACCACCCAGCGAGTTTTCCTACATATTTTCATACACAGAGAAAGAATGTCTTGTAGTAATCATAATACCATTTCAAAACTGTATGTAACAATGGAGTTAAAACCAGGCCCAAGTAAAGTATAAACTGCATTTGGATACTGGATCTCTTGGCAATGTAAATCCTGCACATATGTTTGATGCTCCACTGAGAATGAGGGCTGAAGTAAAAGGGATTCAGAATCTGCTTAATTCAGTGGTAGTTCAACTAAGTGGGCATTTGTTAAATTTCATGCATAAAAACATAGCTTGTTTAAAAAGGATTTAAAGTAAAGCATAAGGCATTGATATCTGCTACATGGAAAACGGAGGGATTTGGATTTTTGCTACAATGACTTTACATGCATTTATTTTATTTGCTGACTAACTGCCCTTCCACAATAGTTAACAATTAATCAATTAACCCATTAAGCCACCCTGCACTCCCAACAGTTGCACTGGTATAGGAAACTGCAGCTTAAATAGATTGAGGCACCATAATAAAAGTGTTACCAATTCCCAGAATTCATCTGTCTGGCTGCATCAGGACCAGCAAGTTGTTGCATCAGCGGCAATAATCTCTATCGCCAGACTAATAACAATACAGCATCTGAACGCAATCAGATCTGTGGGAATCCTATTTTACCTGTACATACAACTTCGCAGGGCTGACTAATCGAACAGCTGCTTGGCAGAACCAGTTCATAGCCAGATGACTTCCATGCAACTCCTGTTGAAGGCAGTTCCTTCCTTATCTAAGCTAGCTTCAGGCTGGCTGCATTCCCACAGCACGGATGACTGACTGATCCCAAAACATCTGTTCACACAGTACAACAAATCATAAATCATAGGTCTGGGCAATGCTTCAGATTCAAATTTAAGATGATGTTTTGGAGCAGCCAAGGGCACCCCTATAAATAACCGGAGTGACAAATTAGCCAGCCATCTTCTTGATTAGCTTCTAAAGCCAGCCACTGGCTTGTTCTCACTCCACAAATCAAACTTTTGTGAACAGGAATAAAAGCAGAGATTGGGCAAATGGAAGCGGTCTCACCAGATCCCATTCTCAATGACATGTTAGAGAAGACCGCTCTTATTGCAAACAATTCATCTTAAAGGAGACCTTGCCACACTGGCTTTTGATGCCTACAGTAGAACTCCAAACTCGTGACAGGACCCCCCTCTTTTGAAAGCAAGCTCTGTCACTAAAAATAACAAGTATCAGTCCGTCGTGACTTAAGGAGAAATAATACATCGGGCCAAACTGCATTCCCTCCTAATCATTAAAAAATGAAAATGTTTTTTGTCGTAAAAAAAATAACTGGAAGAGCCTCACATTATCTATGGATGGAGATGAGAAGGTCAACACACAATCCGACACCCAAAATATATGATGTGGCTGAAACTCAGGGGCTGCAGAGAAGCGTTTGGACCTTGTACCTACAAATGATGTGGCAGCAGTGCAAAAAAAATTGGCCTTTAGCTTCTCAGGCAAAAGCCATTTCTATCATCTAAAAGGCCTTTCCTTCATTAACAAAAGAACGAATGGACGGAAGAAGCAGAATTCTCAAAATAAGCGGTGGTCCAATAACAGGATAAGCCAAAACTCCTGCAGGAATGAACTTTTGAGAAATGCTCAGATCATAAATATATGGCTCCCAGGCCTCACGACTGCCCCCACCTCTCCACGTCTGTTGCCTCACCTGACGTTACTTTCTTTGTTTTAAAAGATTTATTTTTACCAAAAAAATAAAAATAAAGAAATGGGAAGGTGATAATGCAAAGCACTGGCTTCCAGCATCACCTTTCTTTCAAAAAATGCTTTTAGGTGTTGTATCAGCCGCTGAAATATTCTTAAATGATAAAAGGGGTCAGCGACGCTTAACCTGATGTTCAGTTTGTTTCTGGTTTCACACCCATGCCATGAATGACGCACTAGCTTCACGGGCTGGATTCCCACAACACACCCACCAAAAAAACCCTAACCAAGGCTAATGATAATTAAACTCAGCATACTTTGTAAACGTGGCCACCAGATCTTTAACTGCTCTGGTTAAGCGTGTTGGGTGAAGACAACTACAGTGTGATAGAATCCAGAATCTCTAGTGCTGGCCAGTTCTTAACAGACCTGATTTTTAAAGGAATGACCAGATGGGAGATATTCAGATGATTTGTTTCTCTGAAGGTTCACGTTTTAATCCATGTGGCTAAGAGGAATCTTCCTAGCGTTATCTTAGCAGCCTCCTCTTCTCCACATTTGAAAACAAGAATTCTTCCTATAAATGACTAAATCAGAATTGGTTCTCTAAGGCAGTGTTCCTCAACCTTGTCAACTTGAAGACGTGTGGACTTCAACTCCCAGAATTCCCCAGCCAGCCTTCTGGGAATTGAACTCCACACGTCTTCAAGTTGACAAAGTTGAGGAACACTGCTCTAAGGAACTCTGGATATCTATAAACTCCACTCAACTGGGATCTGATTACTCTGTCCTTATTTCTCTTCCCCCTATATCATACCAGATTGTGGACCATCATCCATGCTCTGCAGTGCTGCTCAGTTGGAGTCCTTCACCCCTACACCTCCAGCCCAAAGCTTTTCCTCCATTTATTGGGTTGCTTTGGCCATGGGAACTACTAAGAACTCACAAATGCTGGACTTCAAAAAATATCCTCCTAAACACATAAAGGACACATTCATGCAACACGCTCCCCTTGGTCACCATGCTAAACTCACTTTGTGGTTCACTTACTGCACTAAATAATAAACTACCCATACGGGCAAGATAGGCCCAATAGACTCAGCTACCAACACCGAATTGTTCACATGAATCAAGCTTAGCCTGTTGCTGCCAATGCAAATAGCCCATGTGTCCTGCATGAACATCATCGCTTCTTCTCTTTCTCGTGGTACCTGATATAGCTACTGATCCCTGTTACTCTCGTCTTCCGTTACAGGTTAGGTGGGTGCTGGAATAAGGAAGAGATGCACTTTTAAAATTTCATATATTTTAGAAGGGTGGAAAAGGGTTACTGTTGGAATAGCATGCAAGTCACAGGGATGGGATTTTCACAGTGTATATGGTCTTAGGGCAGGGTTCCTCAACCTCAGCAACTTTAAGATGGGTGGATTTCAACTCCCAGAATTCCCCAGCCAGCCATACTGGCTGGGGAATTTTTGGAGTTGAAAACCACCCATCTTAAAATTGCTGGGGTTGAGGAAACCTGCCCTAAGACCATTTACACTGTGAAAATCCCATCCCTGTGACTTGCATGCTATTCCAACAGTAACCCTTTTCCACCCTTCTAAAATATATGAAATTTTAAAAGTGCATCTCTT